ATATATATATATATATAAAATTTATGTTTGGCAGCTATAGTTCTCAATAAAAATATAAGCAGGAATTTTTAGTTTTGTAAATTTTATGATCTGGGTCTAATCTTAAAGGGAAACTAGGGTTTATATAATCGTTAACCACATTAGTTTAGACATTTTTTGTGCAAACTTATTTTCTTATGTTATACCTATGGTCTTCAGTAATTACTATTTCACTGATAGTTGTAAGAATATGAAATTAAGGCAGGAAGAGAAGTATTAGTTTAATGTGTACTATATACTGTGTGTGTGTCTATACACTTACATGCTGTTGATTTTCATTGTTCATGGATTCCATATTTGCAAATTTTTCTACTCACTGAAATTTATTTGTAACCCCAAAATTAATATGAATAGTATTTTTGTACTCAGATAAGGGCATTATATGGCTGTGAAAAATGTAAGTCACGTGATGCACACTTTCTCAGCTGAGGTCAAATGAGGCCACATTCTGACTTCTTGTTTCAGGTCTCATACTATAAATAAACAAGTGTCTTGTTCATGGCCTATTTAGTGCTATGTTTTACTCATTTTTGTGCTTTTTGCTGGTGATTTCACTGTTCAAAATGGCTCACAAATGTCATCCTAAAGTGTTATCTGTTGTTCTTCAGTGTAGGAAAGCTCTTCTTATGGAGAAAATACCTATGTTAGATAATCTTTAGTCAGTCATGAGTTATACAGGCATGGATTATAGTGCTGGTGACCAGGAGCTGAGTATCAATGCATCAACAAAATATTTTAAAGTGCCTTTAAACAAACATACACACACAAAACAACATTATATATTGATCTCTTAATGCAAATGTGGTAAGCACAGGCTCATAGGAATCTAACCCTGTATTTTCTCCTAGAAGCAATGGCTCAGTATTCACTAATTCAGTGTTTGCAATGACTGTATAGAACATATGAGAATCAACTATATGTGTATGATATCCATCTATCTGATATATATTACATATTGTTCATTATATATTAAAAATGTTATTATATTACTTTTTTTTTTGAGACAGGGTCTCACTCTGTTGCCCAGGCTGGAGTACAGCAGTGTTACCTTGGCTAACTGCAGCCTTCCCTTCCCATGCTCAAACGATCCTCCCACCTCAGCCTCCTGAATAGCTGGGACTACAGGTATGCACTGTCATGCCTGCCTAATTTTTTGTATTTTTAGTAGAGACAGGGTTTCACCATGTTGCCCAGGCTGGTGTGGAACTCCTAAGCTCAAGTGATCTGCCTGCCTTAGTCTCCCAAAGTGCTGGGATTACAGGCATGAGTCACCATGTCCAGCCTCATATTATTAATATATGTTTAATATATACATAATAGGCATACCTTGTTTATTGTGTTTCACTTTATTGCACTTTGCAGATAACTGTGTTTTGAACAGATTGAGCATTTGCGGCAACTCTGCGTCAAGCCAGTCACTCAGCACCATTTTTCCAATAGGATGTGCTCTTTTCATATCTGTGTCATATTTTGGTACTTTTTGCAGTGTTGTGAACATTTTTATTATTATATTGGTTATAGTGATTTGTGATCAGTGATCTTTAATGTTACTCTTGTAATTGTTTTGGGGCAGCAGGAACCATACCTATATAAAATGGCAGACTTAATTAATAAATGTTTATGTTCTGACTGTTTTATCAACCATTGTTTTTCCTGTTTTCAGGCCTCCCCATTTCCTGAGACACAAATATTGAATTTAGGCCAGTTAGTAACTCTATAGTGGCCTGTAAGTGTTCAAGTGAATGGCAGAGTTGCACGTCTCTCACTTTAAATCAAAAGCTAAAAATGATTAGGCTTAGGGAAGAACGCATGCTGAAAACCAAGACAGGCTGATAGGCCTTTTGCTCCAGTTAACCATGTTGTCAATGCAAAGGAAAAGTTCTTGAAGAAAATTAAAAGTGTGTTACTCTGTTGAACACAAGAATGGTAAGAAAATGAAACAGCTTTATTGCTGATTTGGAGAAAGTTTAAGTGGTCTGATAGATTAAATTAACCACAACATTCCCTTAGGTCAAAGCCTAATCCCAGAGCCAGACCGTAACCCTCAGTCTTGTTTTTCTTTTGGAGATGGAGTCTCCCTCTGTTGCCCAGGCTGAAGTGCAATGGCGTGATCTCGGCTCACTGAAGTCTCTGCCTCCTGGATTCAAGCAATTATCCTGCCTTAGCCTCCTGAGTAGCTGGGACTACAGGCATGCATTTTTTTTTTTTTTTTTTTT